TGTGTGTGTGTGTGTGTGTGTGTGTGTGTGTGTGTGTGTGTGTGTGTGTGTGTGTGTGTGTGTGTGTGTGTACGAGTGTGAGAGAGAAAGCGAGAGTGTCGATTGTGAGTGTGAGTGTGTCTTTGTCATGAAATGCACTTGAAAATGAGGGTGGAAAGCTGCAGCAACTCCCCCCAGGAGCCGGAGGCACACAGAGATGGAGAACAGAACAGAATCTTCCGCAGTCCCCCAAGACTACGGAAGACCTAAGGCCACAGATCTCAGTGATATCTGCGGGAGTCCCAGAAGACCAGAGGCGATGGGCAGCTGACCCTGCCAGAGGCCAAACACCCCAGTACGAACTGAGATCAGGGCCCCAGGGCTCCAGGCGCCCAATACCCGTCTGGTACCCAGCAGAGCTCCCCACAGGTCCAAGGGAGTGGGTCAAAAAGAGTATATTTCTAACATATTAGATTCTCTTCATTGGTTCCCAGTTAAATCCTGAATCAAATCCTCCTCACATACAGGTCTTGAATAATCAGGCCCCATCTTAACTTAAAGACCTCTTAGTGCCATATCACTACAATAAAACACTTTTCTGTCAGGGTGCTGGCTTATTTGTAGTTCCTAAGATATTTTAAAGTTGACTAGGGGGCAGAGCCTTCAGCTTTCAGGCCCCTCTTCTTTAAAACATCAAAAGAAAAGGTACGTCATCTCTACTTTTAAGATTAGACTTCACTTTCTGATAAAGCATATAGGGCTAGATCGGGTGAGCCTGAACCCTCCCTGAGTGTTTCTTCTTCACTCACCTGTTTTCATTGTGCATGTGTTTATTCTCCGTATTTAATCACGAGTTATTATTAACCTCTGGTTCTCTTCCACAGTGTATTTGTCTTCCTCCCCTCTCCCCCAACGGCTTGTGGCAAACACCCGTCCCTCTCTGAGCCTGCTTATGATGGAAGTTTCCTCTGTTAAAAGGGAGTTTTACCTTCCCACTGTGGCCAAGTGTTTGCTCATAGATGATCCTCTGATTGTTCCTGTTTTTCTCTCATATTATTGTCTCCGCGTTACAATACAGAGCTCCTTGAGGCAACTCTCACTGTGATCTGGAGCTATATAAAAATAAAACTGAATTGAATGTTTAAATGTTACTCACAGATCTCTCAGATTATCAGAAATACTTTTGACTTTCTCCATTTTCACACAAAAAATCTGATCTTATGTTGAGATTCACTTTAAAATATATGAACGTCTGGTCACCGGAGTTACTGGGGTGGTAGTAAAAAACTATTTGCATAACTGGTCCTGAGCGTACATTATTCCAACATTTGTACAGCCTAAAACACAAAATTTGCCTTAGGGCTTTGTAACATATACAACCATACAACTCCCCTTCCCACAGCCTTCAGCAGAAAATGAATTCTAACATTAAATGTCACTATATTAGGTTGAAAAAAGCCATAAAATAAACTAAACTTTGAAACTATAACACTCGGTTTCAGGACTTGCTGCAGCATTTTAAAATGCTTGCAGCAGGACTCAGTTCAGCAGACACAGCTCTGATTTTTCAGTGCACACATTCAGACCAAAGCAAGAATAAAATGATCTTTATATAGTATATGGACACCGACAGGTGACAGCTGACTGAGAATCTTTCTAATATACAAAAATAAAACAATAAAAAAGACAACGAAGGATTCAGACATTTAAAATAAACTCTATACCTTCAATGAAGACAGGACATCATCTTTTTACTGCAGCAACCCCTGAGCCTTTCCGCAGCGAGATATACAATTACAATGCTACTGAACCATAGGCTGTGTTTAAAATAGACCATAATGGTGTGAATGTAAAATGAGGCAGGAAAGAAGAAGAATGGAGGAGAGGACACATGCTCACCTTTTATGCAAGGCCGAGCTGCACATACAGTATGTCACTTTGTTTCAGTGACATTTCCTCTGACGAAAGGTTAGCCTGTCTTTTACACACAACATTTATGCACACACAGATCCTGTATACACACACAAGTACACACGGCAGCAGCCCATACGCACACACAAAGCCATCTGTCATGCACCGACATCCTCAGCTCGACCAATCAGCTGCCAGTCTCACAGTGCAATTTGATTGGTCACTTCTGGGCAGTCTCCAGATATAGGAAGTTCTTGCACGACATTGATTTATGCTTTACGTGGGCTGTTGGAGGGGTTATTACATTACTGTCTGCAACCGTGAAAGATCCTGATTTTGAAAAGAGTTGGGGGAAGATTGCCGTTAACACTGACGAGGTGGTGGCTTAAAATATGTATTATGATAATTCTTATGGAAACATGCATATAACGTCTGTAACTTTGGGGTTTTGTACAGTGAAAGTGTGATTTGTGTCATTCACATGTCACGGTGAACTGTGATGTCATTTCTTACGACACTATTATCAGGTTAAAACTAAACTCTTACAGACTCGTGATTAATGACATCAGCCTTATCTGTACTTTGGGTTCAAGGATAATTAGGAAATGTTAAGAAGCACTGCTTGGCTGATGCCTCGTTAAAGCAGCAACATGCAGCAGACTCTCAGTTTCATTCGTGTTAACTTTGTTGAGAAAGAGCCCCCTAAATGGATGGTGACCATTCCCCTCAGACATAGTTAAAAGTTTTTCTCCACAGCAGAATTTAATTTAGGTGCACTCTGGTAGAAGACATTCTAATGCAGGCTTCTAATCATTTAATCAAGTGAGCAGTGGACATTTCTCCTCACTTTTAGCCTGAGCCAAATGAAAACAGTGGATGGGGGCACGCTTAATTTATGCTAATGATAATCCTGCCTGCGGCTAACTACTTAAAAATTTAACAAACATGATGTCAAACAGCTGCAATGCCATGTTTCCTGATAATGAGCCACTGGATATATAGTTCAGTATGAGGATTTGTTTTAATGAGGGGGGATTTGAGGCAGAAGCATCAAGAGTCCTCTAGCATCTTGCTGTAAGGAATCAATTTTTTATGAAATAAAAACCGAGAAAAGTAAACTTAAAGGGTTTTATAATTAAATAGAAAGGGGATCAATCAGCCTGTTTCTCAGTCAGATGAAGCAGACGATCAGTCAGTGGGATAAATCTTTTTGATTTATTGGTCTACAGCTCCCCGATAGCTGACTGCGACCTTTGGCCTGTAGCTCCAAGTTTAGACTCTGACGCAACGCTCTTTCTCTCCGTCTGATCAGAATGTGCGTGTTCGGCGGAGAGAGAGTGCGTTATTGAAGGTGACATTCATCCCAGCTGCACCCACTCTTTCCTTTCAGGTCACTTGCACACAGCTCAAGTCAGATATTCCTTTCGTCTAGAATGCACTCAATTTTGCGTTTCTTTTTTTTTTTTTCAACTGAGCTAAAAATTACATGAAAAATACAGAGGTGCAGGATATTTTACTGTTTGTATCAAAAAAAAATTGTAAAACTTGACAGACATGAGTTAGTAGATTAAGAAAGACATGGAAAAACATTTATAAACATGAAAACCATCCAACCTTTTTAACAGTTCTGCTTTTTTGTGCCAGTTAAAAGGTTCTTCTTCCTGATCCTGAGATCAAACTCTTTAATATTGAAAGCTTGAATTGTTCTAAGTGACAAATATGATATGACATGATAAATATACAGGAGAGAGCAACATTCAATGACATTTCAGCTGGAAGATGTTCATTATAATGTTACGCTTGGTCTTTAATCAGCCAGTGGCACAGCCTACTGAAATGCACAAAGATTGATTGTGCCTTCTCTTTCTTTGACATCTCTTGCCATGATTAGAGAAAGCATCGCTTTTTTAATCCAAAAGTCAAATAGATACCCACAGATTTGTTCTTTGACCACATTCTCTGGTGCTTTTTCTGCTTAACTGAAGTAACCTAAAAGAAAATGCTTGTCTTCCTAAAGCCTCATTTAGTGTTGCCATTAGAGCTGCTTTTCCTGTCTTTGCTTTCCATGTGATTGATCTTTCAAGAGCTCCAATGTGACTTATGTGGACCCAGCGACCCAGCGTTTTAATCAATATTTCAAAGCCTGTGATTCCTGTGAAGAAAGGACATCAAAAAGTGGAGCTGGTTTCCGGCTGAAACCGCTTCTGGGCTCTAAAGACGGAACCCAGGAATCGGGCGGGCAAGGACAAGAATGACACGAGGACAGAAGGACGCTCACAGAGGTGGCAGGCTGGTGGATGTGTGAGTGTGACCCTGTGCCACACACACATCTAATTGTGATTTCAGATGTGATAACCTCACACAGTAGACAGCTGAGATAAGGTCTTCGAATGATTGTGCCACATTGATGAACACTGGATAATCAGTCACCTCTGTCTGCCCTGTGTGTGTGTGTGTGTGTGCACGCGTGTGTTGTGTTGTACCTGACGTAAAGTGTGCGCTTCTGTGTGGAGCGGAGAGACGTGGAGCTGGAGCTGACACTGCTGGTCATCATCTGTTCCCTCAGGTCATGGATCTTTGCCTCGAAACGACTGTACTCTACACACAAAGAGACACACAGTAACGTTGTTAGACCCATTGGGCTTGAGATAACAAACCTTACCTTTTTATTTAAACAAAATATGGTTTATGTTTTTCATCAAAGAAAAGAACAGAACGAGAACAAACTGGAAAACCACATTTTTACAAATGGCGGCAGCAAGTAGTTGAGTTGTGACGACAACTACAGAAAGTAGGGTTTGTTTTTTTCCCTGCATTCAAGATCAGAAAGGATTCCCTCTGTGCTGAGTTACTCCACTCAGCTGCAAACACACTGCTCTCCCAGACAAGCACACACACAGTCTGAGTTATCAACGGATTCTCTACAGCCATAATCTAACAGTCTGTTTGATATGAATGTTAACTCCTGTTACATCAGACCCGATCCATGTTAATATCGTCATCAACACATACATTTACAGTCGTGCGTGCACAGTGTGCTTTAAACTCCACGTAGATGCAAAATGACTCAGACCTAAATAGATAAACGTGCCATACAGTGCAATTGAAAACAACTGAATCCTTTTAAAGGGCCACATATACAAAGAAATAAGTGCACTTGCAAACTTACAGTTGGATTCATGACACATGCGCAATACTGTTCTTACCACTTAGTGGATGTTAAGGAAGCAAAATAATTGAAATCAAATCGTGGAAAATGCATTTTTCACGCTTCTTTTTTAATCCAGACAACGCCACGGCCCCTGATTTTTCCACGTAAGGAAATATGCTTGCCTAGAGATGTTTTACAAGAGAGACTGAAGAAAGCGAAGCAACAGCATCTGAGCTGGAAGCCAGACCTTTCTGAAAAGATGCTCGGATGAAAAACTAAGATGCATGTTATATTCCATAAGAGAGACAGAGACTGAACTGGTAAAAAAGACTTCTAATAAACTTAATGTTAAAGAAGAAAGAAAGAAAAGAGTCTCTTGTCCAGGTAAAGGACAAAGGCCAGCGGATCTGTCAGGCCAAGATTAATAACTTGCCACGATTATATTCAGAATTGAGATAGGATGCTGCTATCTGAGTGTGAAAGTGATGACATACATCACTATCACACATTACACATACATAGCAGCGAGCGATCGAACGACCATCCGACTATTAGATCACCTGCTCTACCGCCTAAGCTTAGAGTACCAACGGAAACATTAAAAGAGAGAGAGATACGGCTCTCAATTTGGAGCAAAGTCAGCAAACTTTTTATGCAGTTTTTATCATTTTGTGACAGGCAAGCTCATGTGCCCCCAGTGACCACTGAAATTAAAGATAACACTCTGAAATAACTGTTAAAAGATGTGTCGAGAGAACTTCAGATGGCTGGCAAGTGGCGAGACATTGTTTTTCATTTGCCATATCATACTCAGCCTTTCCAAATGTTTCTAGGTAGCAGACTAACTAAATTGAAATTCTCAATCTTAATAATGCACACTAAACCCAGACTGGTTAATTGTTTCTCAAACTGGGAAAACAGCCCTAGGCCCGCATGAACCACTCTGGGACGTGGGCAGCACTTCACACTCATTCTGTCCTTTTTTTTCCTCGCATAAAAAGATCTAAATACATTCTTCAGCTTATCATTCATGTAAAGTTTGACCACAAAAAATGTTTTAAAGTGAGTTTCTTTGGGAGATGAACTGGAATGATACCATAAGCTCATGTGACTCAGACCAGTGCTGACACAGAGAGCAGTGGGACATATTAGGGCTAGACGTAGGTGGAAAATGGGTGAGTCTGCACTGAGGAGCTCCATTATACATGCACAACGATTTCACATAGTGACGTTCCGGCCGCTCAGCAGTGGCGTGACACAGCATCACTGGTGCAGCGTTTTCATGGAGTTATTAACTTTTTATTTACTCCTTGGCTGAAATGTTAGAGATCTGCAAGAGGCACACAATACTGGAGCCCAAAGTAAAATGACATTGACGTATTGGATGGGAAAACGGCTGAGTTGTTTGCACTCACATCCTCGCCATTCAGCACCACAGTTGCAAATGCAATTACACAGCATGCAGTTTTTCTTAGTAAACCTGTGCGGACCCGTAAATACATTGCTGAATTTCCAAACAGCATTTTTAGTTTAATTGCTGGGAACAATTGTATACTCATCTCCCTTGAATGGCATGAAGTAAATTGCGCGAGGCCGACCGATCGGCCAATCAATGCAAAGTGCACTGATTTGCTCAAACACTCAGCACAGCTGCCTCGTGCTTTAGTGTCCTTCTGCTAGATGCAGCAAAAACACTTTACCGTCTCACCCGATATTTCAGTGGCCATTAAAATGTCATTCAGCCTCTTTATTTATAAGCTAAAGTATTTTGCGGTATACACAAAGTGGAAACACAAGTATTTCAGCTGATGTGCAATGATGGCTTCGACAATATCTGGACACACTTCCTCTAGCAATAAAGTACATAGTTTTAACCTTTAGCAAGCTGCCGCAAATGGCAGTATTTTGATCCGGAGTGGCTGAACAAGCAGCAGAAATGTGTAATAAATCCTTCCTGACTGTCTTCTACTCTGCTTAGCACCACACAGCTTCCCAGAAAATATCTCAACTAATACATGGATGACAACGCCGCAGGCAATAAGCCTGAAAAAGCCCCTCTGAAGGATGTCCCTGTGAGTGAGTGTGCGTATGTGTGTATCTGAACCATTGCTGTGGACTACAGAATCTAATTAACCCTGAGTAATTCAATCATTCTCTAGGTACACACGGTCATGAACACACACACACACACACACACACACACACACACACACACACACA